ATAACTCAGTGTGAATGCCCTGGATTCAAATCCCCAGTACTACAGGAAAAAAAAAAAAATCAAAGGTCGACATCTGTGCCCCACCATCAGACTTTGGGACTCAATAGGCCTGGGGCAGGGGCAGGGAGTCTGCATTTTATGGAGGGTGCACACCCCACCATGCCTTACCCCAGGGCTCTGGCATAGGTGCCTCAGGCCCACTTTGCAGGTTGCAGCTCCCAGGCTCCCAGGCTCCCAACCTGCTGCCACCCACTTCTGTCCCTGCAGGAAGCGAGTGGGGTGGTGGGAGCCCTGGCCCTGGGGGGCTGCTGCAGCTCCAGGTCCCCCCATCCCCACTGCCCACCCTGGCAGGCGAGAGCTAATTAGACGAGAGGACCTCTGGGCTCCTGGCTCCTTCTTAATTGTTTGTGGATCCAGCATAAAACTATGACTGAGAGAGAGCCAGGCTGGGTTAGCACACAGTCCCGGCTTCTCAATTTGTCTAAGAGGTCATTTGCAATTTGTTAACATTTTTCACAAGGGTGAATTCAATCAGCGGCTCCCATGTGGGCAGCTGCAGGACAGCGGCCGCCGACTGAGGATGGAGGGGAAGTAGCCAAGAAGATGCTACCCTGGACCCCTGGGTCATCCACCAAGCCTCGCAGCAGCTGGGCAGTGCTGCAGGGAGCCGAGACAAGGACAGCAGGAACCACAGACAGGGCCTAGGAAACTGCATTTTGCCACCTGGTGCAGCTCCAGGTGAAGCTCCTGGGCACTCAGTTTCCCCTTCTCCCATGGATGCCTGTCTTGGTGTGCCCAGGAGGGCAGGGAGGGGAGCAGGTCCTCTCTCCATTCCCTGTGGTCTGTGAGGCTGGGGGATTAAACCCAGGGGCCCTCGACACTGAGCCACATCACATCTTTATTATTATTATTATTATTATTATTAACATTTTACTTAAGAGACAGGGTCTCACCAGGTAGCCCGGGCTCAGCTGTAACATACAGAATTCTCCTGCCTCAGCCTCCTGAGTGCTGAGATGACAGGTGTGGAACTGTCTATACTTAGCTCCTTTAGTAGTAAAGAGTGAGAGGCGAGTGGCCCCAGCTGGAAACGTCTGTCTCACCCGCGGTGTTCCACACGAGTGAGTCTTGCAGCTTCCCAAATCATCTGTCTGTTCGCAGAGTTCCCCAATGAACTCTAAGGAAAGCTGGCAAGGGCCGGCTCCTGGACGGGCTGAGTGCCTGGAACCTTGTGGGCCACTGAAGGCTGCTGACTGATTGTACACCGCTCACAGGTATCTGTGTCACAGAGACACAGGACAAGGGGCCCTGCGCCTGGGGGTCAGGGACACCTGGGATGCAGCCGCTCCCCGGCTGTGTTAACAGCGTTCCCCTGGGCCTCAGTTTCCCTGCCTGGAAATGGAGAGGTGAGAGGTGACCCTTCTAGGGTGGCTCTGGGGCTCCCTCCTTCGGGGTGGTGCATGGGACGTGGCTGGTATTATTATTGTGGATGCAAACAGAGCCAGGTGTGGAGGCTGAGGTGGAAGGATCATGTGTCCCAGCCCAGTCCGGGCAACGTAGGGACTTAGCAAGACCCTGTCTCAAAGCCCAAACCAACAAACTAGCAGACAGGGCTAGGATGCAGCTCAATGCAAAGCCCTCAATCCCCAGTACTGCAAAAATACAAACAAAACAAAACAAACAAGACCCTGCAGAGGCCCCCATGCCCAGCATGAGTGCCTTCCCCACGGACTGAGTGGCACTGTCCCTGGCACTGGGCACTGATGCCGGCATTTCTGGCCCCCAGGTCCTCTGCGCTGTGCTGGAGGTGGCACCAGGAGATGCTGCACACCAGGCCGTGGTGACATCTGTGCTGGCACCCGTGGGAAAAGCCTGAAGTGGAGCTGAGCACCTTGTGCAGGGCGCCCCGGGGGCAGCGGCCTTGTTAGCGCTGACCTTGGCACTGGGCTCCTGACGGATGGGGCTGGGAGCCCGCACAGGCCCAGGGAGCCTCAGCCTCATCCATCACACCGGGCGCCGCCCTGAACCCTGCCTGCCCGGATGCCAGCTGGGCTAGGATAAATCTGTTTGAGCCACAGGAGAGCGAGGGGACCGAGGCAGAGTATGAAAAATGGCTCCGTCCTGGCTCTGGAAACCAAGCCGGCAGAGGGAGGAAGGAGCCGGCAGGAAGGGAGCAGTGTGGGTGGCGGGAGAGGAGGCGGAGCTGGAACCACTGGCCAGGACCCAGCTGCTTACCCCCACGGGCTACCGCCGCTCCTGCCCAGGGCCAGGACAGCTCTCCCTCTGACTCGGTTTCCCCAGGAGCCAGTGAAAGCGACAGCACCCACCAGCAAGGGCCGTGAGGAGGGCGGGGGCTGTAAACCGCTGTCACCGACGGCTGGGAACTCAATTCCTCCTGGAAGTGGCAACCTTGTGTACCCGGGCAGTGATCCTGGAAGCTGACGGGGCCCAATCCTGGTGCTGCCACCAGCTGGCCACATGGCGTTGGGCCTCAGTTTCCCCATCTGTAAAACGGGGACTTTACCTCCTGCTTTGTAGTCATGAGCATTTAATGAGAGGATTCATGAAAAGAGTTCAGTGTTGTGTCCATAGCCAGGAGCACCACACTCTTATATATACACCAAAGCCCCCAGAGCAAAGCCTCCACCACCTTCAGAGGCTGCTGCTTTTGCTCCATATCTCTTCTCACCCAGCTAGGTGGACTCATCTCTCGTCACGTCCTTTGTCCCAGTGGTCACCTTCCCTCGTCCCACACATCATCTCCTCAGCGCCCTCCCAATACTCCACCTCATGGACCTTCTCCAGAGTGTACAGGGCCGGGCATTTTTTAACTTCATGCTGTAAGTACAACTGAGCAGAAAAGTGTGGTGGTCACCTCCCTTGTTGTGGATTTCCAGCCTCTATTAATGCAGCTAAGGAACACATCCTGCACGGCAGGTTCACGGGACACAGGCATCTCTGGCCCCCGCATCCCATATCTGGGTGTCAAACAGCTTTTCTCTTTGCTTTCGTGTGCAGTCTCAAAGCTAGAACAGGCCCTGACCCATGATGACTTAGATGCTTCTTGAGTGTCCGCTCTGGCTGGACTCTGGATTCCCGCGAGCTCTGGGCCAGGGCTCTGCGAGCGCCACACGCTCCCACTTGGCCGCTGCCAACCCTGCTCTCCTGCCCGCCTGTGGAGACCGAAGGCCCCGTCCCCGCTCTGTCCCTGCCACCGCCGCCTGGGGTCCCAGAGGTCTGTGGGAGGCTTGGATTTCAGCCGCCAGCTCCACGAGAAACACATTAACCCGGGTGACTGGAGGGCACCTTGTTCATTTGCAAAGAAGCCAGCTTGACAGAGAGACCCCAATGCCCCGGGCAGCAAACATCTCTCTAACGGCCTGTACAGTTTCCTCCACCTTTCACCGTGCCAGCGCTGGGCCGGCCACGCCTGGGGTGGCAGGAGGGTGGGCGGTGGCAGCTGAACGCTGTGAGCACCGGGACTGGGCCTGGCCACCCAGCAGATGGACGAAGGGGCCTTTCATAGGCGCACGCGCCACTGGCGTGACACCCAGACCCCGAGGTGGCCATCCCACCACGCCTCCCTCAACAGACACTTACCAAGGGCCTCTTGGCCTTTCTTCCGTTTTAAAATTTTTTTGGTACCGGGGATTGAACTCAGGTCCTTGCACTTACCAGGCAGACGGCGGAACCACTGAGCCCCCAGGCCTTTCTTCCTTTTAGATTTATCGCATTGGGTATTTTGCTACAGTCACAGAAAGCTGTGAAAGGACAAAGCAAAAGGGAAGCAGAGCGGGCAAGTTCTAGACATCAAAGAAACCTACGAGACAGCCTGTCTCCTCCAGCCGCATCACACACAGCGGGCACTGTGGTCACTGTCACAGGAAGTCAGGCCCAGACCAACCCCTACCCTGAGGCATCCAGGCCCAGGCCAACGACCGCTCTCTGTTGACCACCCTCACTCTCCCCTTCCTTAGGATGGGGTGGAAGAGCCCCAGGCAGAGCCTCCCTGAGCCTGCCCGCTCTGAGGAGCAGCAGGAACAGGGAGGGAGGAACAGGGAGCTGGCTAGTGCTGGAGAGGCCTGGCCTCCCCTCCCATCAGGGCTGTGGAAACCCGGTGCCCAGATCCCCCGCAGAATCAACAGTGAGGCCCATCAGGCGCAGGAACAGTTAAGATGTGCCCAGGGCCCGGAGCGTCTGCAAGTGCTCAATAAGATGCATCAATAATTAAGCGCTTCTTTAAGAGTTACATTTGTGCCTCCAGACGTATTTGTTTATGGACGTGGGGTTGCAGCTTGGCGGTTATGGCCTTGCTCACTGGTAACGAGTTTAAAATTCTTCAGACTTGAACTTCAAGATCAGAGAGACTGGCGGGGGGAGAGAGGGCCGGGCTCTCTCCAGCTGTCTGGTCAGGGGTGTGGTCTCCACAGCCGGCCACATCGGTCCACAGTGCCACAAGATGGAGACCACTGGTCCACGCCAGAAAGACCAAGGAGCAGATAAAAGAAATGCGAGAAGCCAGCTAGCTAGGGACTGGAGCCTGGGATACTCAGTCCTCCCCGCTTCCTCCTCCTCTTCTTCCTCTTATTTTGAGCCGGGGTCTCACTTGGTATTCCAGGGTGGCCTTGAACTCACTAGGCAGCCCAGGCTGGCCTCAAACCCACACTGATCTTCCTGCCTCAGCCTCCTCAGTGCTGGGATTACAAGAGGGCACTACCACACCCATGTCTGTTTTTTTTGTTTTGTTTTATGTGATAACTCATTCTAAAAGAATTTTTTAATGACTGCCCAGGCCAAATCAACATCTCTGCTGACACAGTCACAGCCCCTGGTTGTCTCCATGTGGCTGCTGTTTTCCTGCCAACTGCACAGGTCTTGGCCTCCTCCGTAGCCTGAGGTTCAGGGACTGAAATGGGCCCTTGTGATGTAGAGAAAATCGGTAACAGATTACTGTGGCTTGGGAACCAGCCGGAAAGGAAGTAACTGAGTAACTAACTCTGCGTCCAGGCTCGGAGGGCCAGCTGAGCAGAACGGAGGTGTGGGAAGTGGGCGCACCTCTGGATTCAACCAAGGGGGAGAAGACCTGGCGTTGTGCTGAGCAGCGAGTGGCACGTCTGCCCCATGTGGTGAGCACCCTCCTTTTAGAGCAAGCTTTTGTGTATTTAGTCCAAGGCCAAACTTTATTTTTTAACACATCTGCGGGTATTAACGGCTCTTGTTTGTTTCTTTACTTTATTTATTTATTGGACCAAATCACCCCACAATTCCTCGGTAGTCGAATGTAATCAGATTTGGTTTTTAACATGCTTTTAAAGTGGGGAAATAAATAGAATTGAGGGTTGTAAAAGGGGGTCGTTACGGAAGGGGCCTCGGCCCCATAACTTTAAAGTAATAGCCCCATTAGGGGGGGCGATGGTTTTGTAACTGTTTCTGCACATTTATGTCTGCTGGCCAAGGGGGTCTGCAGGCTGCAGGCAGCTCGGTAAAAGCTTTTCCGGCAGCCATTTAACCTCCATTTACGAAGAAATAAAGTGAAATTGATGCTGATTCGGGCCTGCCTGGGGGGGGATTTCTGTCCCATAAAAGCCTCTGTGCCTGCAATTTGCCCGGCTGCCCTGTCACATCGAGCAGGGCCGCTGCTGATAAAGATAAAGCTTTATGGCCACGATATTTGCTGCTAACAGCAACCTAATGCAGCATTTTCATTTCTGTGCAATTAATGTTAATGTCTGCTACGAAAATCGTCATTAAATACCATTTTAAAATCCATTCAATTTGCATATGCAAAGCCCATTTACCATCATGGAAGATGTAGCCGGCATTTCATCACGTTCTGGCGCTGGAATTGTGACCTCTCAGTTTTCAGCAGCCTGAGACTTTGTACTGAAAGCTGGATGGTAATGAATAACCTCATGGTGTTGGCACCACGGTCCCCACTGTGCGAAGAGCCTGGGCCGCACAGGAGAGCCCCGGGCTGCCTGGATCCGGGCCGGCTTGGTTGTAGCCTGCTGGGTGACCCCAGGAGAATCTCTTCACCCCAACTCCTTTCTCTTTTCTCCTGTTCTAAGCTTTCAGCACAGTGATCGCTAATAACCTGAGTGCTCTCACTTCTGAGATTTTAAAAGATAAGCATCACAGGGGAAGGGTCCTGCGGCCAAGCCTGCCACGAAGCTGGATGAACTTCTGCCCCTGTTGAAGCGTGGTCTGGCTCACCTCCTGCCCAGGTTTTCATGACAACGAGATAAAACTGGCCTGAAAGGGTTAAGCCAAGAGGGAGCGACAGGCATTCTCGGAGGGTCACAGAATGCCAGCTTACTAGGTTAACACCTTACTCACAGAGGAGGAGATTTGAGGACAAAGATGGAATCCAGGCCCAGAGCCCCTCCCACACCACTCTGCAAGGCCCTGTGTCACAGCGTGGATCCATCATGTGACCAGGAACAGACAGCAGGCTCTGTGGGCCCGGCCCCGGGCATCCTACAGAACAAGGTGAGGGGTGATGGGAGGCAGCCAGACTGGGCAGCAGTGACCTGGGACACACCTGGGAGGGCTGGTGTGGGGTCACCTCAAAGGCAGGAGAAGAGAGCGTACAGACGCTTGGTTAAGCCAGCCCAGAAGAGACTGTCCAGTGTGTCTTTAATGTATGAGGCCACAGGGATGGGAGAGCTACCAAAAAGAGGATGCTGGAGTGAAATTTGGAGGGTGGGAGGGTCTCACATGTAGGATATGACTGTTGGGGACCTGATGCTGCAGCCGTCACAGGCTGTATTCTCCTGGTTCTTCTTGGCTCCTAAAATGACCTCAAGCTCTTATCTTTAGTTTCCCTCCCGCCAAGGCCACAGCATCTGGAGAAGTCAAACCTAAGTGTCTCCAGGACTGAACCCATAAAAGACAAGCTGGCCTGTGATAGGTTAGAAGTAGCCCACTCCTCATGAATAAGCAAGAGCCCAGCCCAAAACAATCAAAGGACCTTCCTTTCTTTGGTCTTCTCTCTTCTTCTCTCTCCTCCCTCTCTCCTCTCTCCCTGACCTGCCTTCCTGAATAAAGTCTCCTATCGGACCTCTCGGTGTGCGGCCTAATCGTGGAGCGTCGCTGTGCCTCTACAATGGCCAAAAGGCATCCTACAACAGCAGAAGGTGTACGCTTGGGAGAGAGTATGGTGGGTCCTCCAAATCACATCTACAATCCCTGCGAGATTCAGCAAGTCAGCGTCTGCGTGGGTCACCAAAGGCATCAGGAGCAGGACAAGGACAGGTCTTTGCACACCCACGTGCAGAGCAGAACTCACAACAACCCAAAGCGGAAACAACCCAGGTGTCCACCCATGGAGGACAGGTCCAGGCACATAACGAAATATTCCTCTGTCTTAAAAAGGAACGCAGGGCAGGTGCATGGTACAGCCGGGGCGAACATGGACGACATCATGGTAAAGGAAATATGTTTGGTACAAAAGAGCCTGCGCTGTAGAGCCCACCCCTAGCAGGCACCTCGATCCGTCCAAGTCCCAGAAACAGGGAGCAGAATGGAGGGCGGCGGTTAACAAGAGCTGCCGGAGGTGAGGGGAGTTGGTGCCCCCCAGGGCAGAAGAGTCTGGGTGGTGCTGAGGTGCACAGTATGAAAGGGCTTAGTCCTGCTGAACTGTTCACATGAAAACCGGCACGATGACTGGTCTTATGTCATACACAGTTCACCACAATAAAAACGAAAGAGTAAAACAAAAGACAAGGAAGGGAGCATTAAAAAGGAAAAAAAAAAAGGGGGCCGGGGGTTTAGCTCACCTGCCTCACAAGGGCAAGGTTCCGAGTTCAATCCCTGGTACAAAAAAAAAAAAAAAGAAAAAGAGAGAGAAAAGAAAAAAAAAAAAGGGGGCCGGGGGTTTAGCTCACCTGCCTCACAAGGGCAAGGTTCCGAGTTCAATCCCTGGTAAAAAAAAAAAAAAAAAAAGAGAGAAAGAGAGAGAAAAGGAAAGTAACACAGCAAAAGGAAGTTAGGCGTGGCCAGAAGGAAGACTGGAAGGCAGGCTGGGGGTGCGATGGCGCTGAAGGAGGGCACAGATGGCTGGTCCGGGCCAGGGCGGCAGGAGGCCCAGGCAGTCGCTGCTGTCTGCAAGCAGCGGTTCTGTTTATTTGTTCAGTGCGATTCGATACACAAACCTCAGTGAGTCTGTAATAATGGTAAGTTTTCCTCACGATATGGAAAAGGCCAGGAAACCTCCTGCTGTTCTGGCCTGCTCAGTTCCAGGGCTCCTCCCTGTGGAACAGAACCTTGGTCCCCACCTCGTCCCAGATGGATTGTGGGGAAGATTTCTCCCTGACTCCCAGGCGGGCCATGTGATCAGGCCTGGCCAATCAGGGCATCAGAGCCTCCAACCCTCCCGGCAAAGAGTTCAGAAGCAGACGTGGGACCCCAGTCTAGCCAACCGCAGTGCCTGGCTCAGGCACACGTGTGTGACCTGCTGGACCAAAACATGTTGATCTTAAGGCTTTTGTATTTTCTAAATTACTCCTGCTGGGTTTACTAAGACAACAGGATTAAGAATGCAACTGCTCTCAGCCAGACAGCAGGTGAGGAAGAACCTTGACCGGGAATGAAGCCCAAACCAGGAAGCACAGCCACCACGTGGAGGGAGAGACCAAATGTTGGTAACTATTACCTGACGCGTGTGTCCCCCTCTGCCTGAAGCTCCACCCTTGGGCTTTTCAATCACACAAGCCAATACATTCCCTTTAAAAAGTCAAGGCAGTTTGGGTTTTGATTTTATGCAGCCATATTCTACTTTGATAGAACTCCAGTTGTGCTAGGATCCGGTCATGGGTCACTTGTTGTTAGGGGCAAAGAAAATCAGATGCCCTGATTGGCCAAGCATGATCACATGACCCTCCCTGGGTCAAGGGTGAAGTCAGTTCCCACAATGCACATCGGCTGAGGTGAAAAAGATGTAGAGTTGCATTTGTGTTCACAGAGAGAATCCTGTGGTCGGCAGCCAGGTAGGATAATGTCCCTAACTGTGGAGCTCTTATCAGCGTCTGCATAGGGAATTATACAACTCAGCATGTGCATTAGGGAGGTAACTCAGTCAGGGCCGGTTCTGGAAGCCACGAGAGCAATTAGGGGTTTCTTCGGAGATCCAAGCAGAAAAAGACAGGGCACTGACTGGGCTGCAGGTTTCTGAAAGTCCTTTTCTGCAGCTGCTCCCTGGCTCCACACTCCCACCCAGCTCTGTGTGGGACATGGGTCCTACTGGCTGGTCCTATTCTTGCTGGGCATTTGCAGCATTGTTGCTGGGAGGATGGGACCTCGGGAACACCATCTGGCCCATGTGATCTACGGGATGCCAGGCAAAGAACAGGGGGATCCCAGGGACTTCTAGGGTGCCAGACAAGGCCCCTGTCTTTATCTGATCACTTGCTAAATGAACATTTCTATTTGTAAAATTTCATTAAGCCAAACACGGGCACTTCAGCACATCACCGTGTTCAAACTTAATAAAATACTAAGGTGAAAATGTAAACACCTCATAGCTCTTGGATATTTAGTGTGTGTCCATCATTTCAGCCACAGTAACCGCCCATGTTTATCGAGCGCTCTGTGGAGGCCTCTATGACAAGCCACTGTGCCGCTGCAACCTCTTAGCGACACCACAAAGCAGGTACTGGTATGTCCCGTTCTGCAGGTGCGAAAACTGAGGCTGGGGTCCCACAGCCACTTGTGACCAGAGTCCGGGTGTGAGCCTGTGTCACAGCCTCCCAGGTGCTGGGCTGGGGTAACCTGGCCTCCCTCGTTCAGGTTCCTGAACCCCCTCCCAGGGAAGACGGGTTCCTGTCAAGGTAGGTGAGAGAAAACGAGGTCACTTCATAGCTTCTGCCACCCTCTGCCAGGCAAGCACTCAGCGCGGCCGGAACCACAGCACAGCCACGGAAGCCACAGGACAGTGTTTAGGGAGAGGGGACAGTCCGCCTCAGAGGGTGCTCTGCTCCCTGTCCCCTCCGACATTGCTCCCCCATCAGCCAGCACCTCTTGGCGCCCTCCCTGGCCCTGGTGAGGGATGGAGCCCGAGTGCCACTCTCTCACCGTGCCCGGATTCCGAAGGTCATGTTGGGGGGAACGGTGGGCAGCTCCTTGTGGCGCCGGTCGTCCTGGTCACTGATGCGGATGTCATTGAGCCTGCGGTATAGGATGTTCTCCCGGGCGGTCACCAGGCCAGCTTTCACGGCCCCGCGGTTCATGGCGATGTAGTTCCGGGTCAGCTCCTGGGGGCAGGTGGGCTGCTGCCTGTACACATTCCAGTGCCCGATGGCTGAGGCAAGGGAGACAGAGCCAGGGGCGGTGTCAGGGGAAGCAAAGCGCCCCCGGCCTTAGACTGGAACAAACGGGGCCCCCGACATCCCAGCCTGATGGGCGTCCGCCCTGCCTGCCCCTGGCAGCGTATGGTGGCACAGAAAGGAGGGCTTGGGATTCTGAGATGCCGAGGGAGGCTGAGCTTCTTCCGTGGAGCCGGGGCACCTGCCCTCAGCCACCCTTGGGCCATCAGAGACCTGGTCCTGAGCCCGTCCTGTGCTTGCAGCTGGAATGGTGCTGACTGCAGAGGGGCCCTTCCCAGGGTGCCCTTGCTCTTTCCCTGCTCCCCAGCCTAGACCCCCTTGGTCCTCACCATCTCGGCCAAGCCAGCCCTGGGTTTCACTACTCAGCTGCCCAGACTTGGTTTCCCCCAGAGCTGTGCTGCAGAGCAGCCCCCTGGGTTTTCCCAGTGGCCCAGCTGCTGACGATAGCCCCAGGAAGAGGCGCGAGCCGCCTTCCATCCACTCCTGAGGCCCCCGTGCCCCCGCACACTCGCTCACCTTCGGGGACCCCCCCATCCAGCCCCCGGATGTAGAGGCCGTAGTTGAAATCGACACCGGGCAGGCTGCAGCTTCTCTCCCGGGGTTTGCCGAGTTCCGCCTGTAGGAGGAGAGAGCGCGAAGGTGAGGAAATCTCAGCCCTCATGATGTCTAGCAACGTGGGCACCGGAGAGGAGCCAAGCTGCAGGTGGACAGAGGTAAGTGTGACGAGCTCTTGCTTCCTCCAGGGACACCCCAAGCCCTCATCACCAGCAAAGGAAGCGGATTCTTCCTCCTTAAATCCTTACTTTAGGGTGGGGACGCAGTGAAGCACCCACTGTCACCCCCCTGGCCTGAAAGCCCTAGCCACTGGATCTCTGGTGAACTCCTTCTCAAGCCATGGAAGGAAACTGCTGCTTTATGGATGCAGAAATTGAGACCCAGAGAGGCGGGCGTCGCCCCTGGGATGGAGCAGGGTGAGCAAGACAGGCAGGTGCCTCTGGCCCTGGGCTGGGGCGGGATGGCTGAGCCACGGCGACCCCAGATCTTGAGGTGGAGGAGGGAAGAGCATCATCCTCGAGCACTTCCGGGTTCTACTTCGTCCCAGGCCCAATATCCGGTTCCTCTCTGCCACCTGGGGACCCAAGTCCCGTCACCACCTCCACTCCTCCCATGGAGAAGGTGAAGCTGCCTCAGGACACACAGTAGGAAGTGGCAGAGCTGGGATTTGAACCCCAGCTGTCTGTCTGTAGCCCACACTAGATCCAGGTACCAAATAAAGAGTGGTGAGCCTCCGGTTTCCATGGCTCCTGCGTGCTGTGAGCCCAGGGACAGAGCTGTGAAGGGCCCATGTGGCCACGCCCTGCCCTTCCTCTGCTCAGTTCATCTGGGGCTGCGGAATCACGAGGCCCATGCTGGACCACTTTCCGTGGGTTATGGATTCCTGCCCCGCCGGAGCCCTGGTTTCTCTCACTGCCTGTTTCCTGGTGGGCTGTAGCAGGTGTGCCAAGAAACCTCCTCCGCTGGGCAGGCTTCCTGGGTGGGCGTGGGTTGGCTGCGCCTCCTTGTTATGTTGGGTGTTGGGTGTCAGCATGTGCCCGACCTACCATTCGAATTCATGGGAACCGGAAGGTTGGCGGTTACCGAGGCTCGGGGGTAATGTGTCTTTGAGGGGGCGTTCTACAAGGGATTGTGGGGTGCTGGGCATGGTGGCACAGGTTTATATAAATGCCAGCACTCTGGGAGGCTGAGGCGGGAGGCTCACAAGCCCCGCCTGGGTAATTTAAGCAATTATTAGTGAGACTCTAGCTCAAAATACAAAATAAAAAGGGCTGGGGATGTAGCTCAGCGAAGGAGCTGGGTTCATCCCCAGTAACCCTACCACCACACACAAAAAAATCGATTATGGTGATGGTTGTAGAACTCTGTGAATATATTAAGGCCCATTAAATTGTACGCTTTATTTTTTTTGTTGTTGTTTTGTTTTTTGGTGTCGCGGATTGAACTCGGGACCTTGCGCTTGCGGAGCAGGCAGCGGAACCACTGAGCTAAATCCCCAGCTGTTTGCCTTAAATGGGTGAATTGTACGGTGTGTGAATTACATCCCACGCAAAGCCTCTGAAAATGACAGAGTAGCGTATTCGAGTCAGTAACTGCCTGGCGATACTCTCAGTGTCTTCCTGCCCAAAGGAGCCTGTGTGTTGCACCGCACAGGGATCTGGGCTTCCTTAATTCTTTTGTGGTACTGGGCACTGAACCTAGGGGTGTGCTACCATTGAGGTATCCCCAGCCCTTCTTATTTCTTTATGTTGAAACAGCGTCTAACTAACTTGCCTAAATTGGTTTTGAACTTGAGATATCCCTGCCTCAGCCTTTTGAGTAGCTAGGACTACAGCAGAGGCAGTGTATCACCCTGCTCAGCTATTCATTAACTTTTTTTGCTATTCATTAATTTTTAAAGTTAACTTTCTAAAAATTTATTTTATATTTTAGAGCAGTCTTAGGTTCACAGCAAAATTGAACAGAAGGTGCAGAGGTTTCAAACACACTCCATCAGTCTTTATTTTTACCCCTCTTTTCCCAGGGCTCAAGGTGGAATAGATGTTAGTAAACGGGGCTGAGGGGACAAAGGAAGAGAGGGAGGGCGAGAGGAAAGAAAGCAAAGAGGAAAGAAGGAGGCACGGAAAGGAAGACAGGAGGGAAGGCGGGCTGCGGGAGCCCTTAACGCACCCTAGGCAGTTTTACACAGTCATCCCTGAGTGTGGCAGCCTGGCAACCTGGGCTGCCCAAGGCCCAGGCCCCAGCAGACTCAGGGTTGGGGAGAATCTCCTTCCGGTCTGCAACTGGCTGCCTCCTCACACAGAAGAGAAGACGGAGATGACCCAGCCCTTCCCCTGCTCAGAAGGGCACTAATGCCACGGCGGGGGCTCCATCCTCGTGACCTAACCACCTCCAGGCCCTGCCTCCTAGCACACTGGGGGAGGGGTTTCATGCAAGTCTGAAGGACCCTTCACGCAGCCCAGAACGGCGCATGTGCACCTGGGGCCTGGGTTCTCCAGGCTCAGCTGATCGTCTCTCTCCCTTCTCCTTCCGGGTCACAAACCCCAGACCCCCAGCTCCCTGGGAGCCTTGGCAGGTACAGGGCCCTCTGCTGGGTGCTTTGTTTTGGTTTCCTTCCCGGCCGCTCGGCCAGAGCCCAGGCAGAGCTCTGGCCTCTCATTTGTTTATGAAGATGATCCGGCCTCTCCAGCGACTGCTGAGGAAGTTAATTAAAATGTGACTTCTCCAGGAGAGGCCCTGTGTCCCCTGGGACAGGTGCGGGCCGGCACACTTCCAGCTGGCAGAGGAATGACAGAGGGACTCGGGAGCTGGCTGCCACCCTCTGGTGGGGCTGGGGAGCAGACCGGTTGCCTGGGAATCAGAAACTGCTGAAGACCCGGGCTGTGAAAATTCACCCCAGCAGGAGGCCTCCTCGAGCTTTCACCCCATAAATAGTTCACGCCGGTTGTGTACCAAGCCCTGCCACTGGTAGCTCTAAGGTGAACAGAGTGGGTAACAGCCCTTGCTCTCACGAAATTCACTGTTTTCGAAATTCACACTGTTTTGCCAAGAGTCAATCAAGTAATGATAGTCAAGGGCTCCGGGGAGCATGAGGAGGGGAGCACAGTGCCCCCCAGCTCTCAAATCTGAGTCCACACAGTGAGTGAAGATATTTGCAATGTATGTATCTGACAAAAGATTTATAGCCATCATATGCAAAAAGCAGCTATAAATCAATAAAGGACAGATTCTCCTCTAAAAAATGAGCAAGAGTTGGACAGGTGCTTCATTGGTCAAGACCCATGTGTCAAGGTGCCCAACCTCTGGGAGACACAAAATAAGAGCTCCCGGCTCTTGGGGAGGGTTTGGGGCAATCAGGATACTTGTGATCTCAGCGGTCACTCCTAACCCCTCATAGAAATGACCATGCAGGCCACCCCAAAACGTGTCTGAGAAGGATCCAGACAGCTCAGCGCTTGATAACCAACCCCAGAAACACAAATGGGTGGAAAAGTCTAGCCGTATTCGTAGCACAGAAAGTTCCGCAGCAGTGGTCTTGGGCCGGTGTGAGTCTTGTCCCCAGGGCATCGCTTGTGGGTGGGGCACTGCCCTTTAGTGGGTAGAGGCCAGGGACGCTGCTGACCATCCACGGCGCACAGAGAGCCCACCACACTCGGCGAGGGGCTGACCGGGACAAGGTGGCAGTGAGGGTCCTCCTGGGCCGCGGGTGGCACAAACCCAGCCACACGCGCTCCCCCTCTGCAACACATGCAGGCACAGCGCGCCCAGGCTGCGGTTTGAGAAGTTGGGGTGCAGGGCTCCGCGTGGGGACGGAGATGAAAGCTGCACAGAGGGCTTCCGAGCTCTTAACCACCATGCACAGCGGTGTCTGCTGTGCACATTTCACAGCGAGGGAAACAGAGGCCCAGAGGCTGCGGGGTCTTGTGTGCCAAGGCGTGAAGCGCCCCGTGCTCTCCCCATTCGGTGTTTAGCACTCATTGCCCCGTAGCTGGGCTGGGAGTCACCCTAGAGCGGGGGTTCTGCCAGCAGAGGAGCCGGTGTGCACTGCCAGCTTGGTGCACGCCTCGGTGCCAGCCTGGAGGGGGTCTGGCGAAGGGCCTGCCCTGGGGGAGAGAGAGGTTGGCGACCCTATGGCCAGGAAGCATCGCGCAAAGGGCGGAACTAAACCGCCATGGCCACGCCCTCAGGACCAGCCTCCAACCAGGCCCCGCCCCCCCACGCTCTGCCTCGGGAGCTTCTTCCTAATCAGCCTCCTTGAGAAGCCTGACTTGTGAGCACAAGGGGCTCTCAGGGTACAACTAGACAGAAACCACCGCTCTCACGCCCCGGGTGGCTGAACAGGCTGGGGGGCGGGGAAGAGCTGCCACTTCGGAAAGCCCTCTAAGCAGACAGCTAGGTCTTGCTTGGGTCTGGGGCAGGCGGCCAGGAGAAGGAAGATTCAGGTCTTGTCTGACATTTCCGGGAAAACCAAGATTCGGGGGGCGGGCAGCTGGGAAGGACAGGAGCCAGGGTGTGCAGATGAGTCCCCCGATGGTCCAGTGGGGCCTCCTGGGAGCCCGCAGGGGTGAAGCTGGCCATCTGACACGCAGGTTCTCAGGGAGGTCCCAACCCTGAACTTCTAGACACGGGAAAGCAGTTTGTGACAGATGTCTGAGATCAGCGGCCACCAGCAAGCAAGAGGAACTTGAGGCCCGATGGTGGCTCAGTTTCCATGGCAACAACCTGACTACCAAACCGATGGGATTTAGCCACAGATCTCAGCTTTAATCAGACACCCAGGTCCCCAAGCAGCCTATCCATCCACCCAGGACAGTATGGGGGATGCCATTTGCAGATACAAAAGGGGTCTCCCAGCCAGCACTTGGGCTGGACTATGCAAAGGTCCTGGGGCAGCCTGTGTGCATGGGTGATAGGGTTGTGCAGAGCCTGCAAAAACCCTTCCCCCATGGGGATTCCTGAGAACCAGCAGGCTGTCTTTACTGCAGAAAGCGAAAAAAAGAAGAAAGAGAGTAGCACTTACTATGTCTCCCTGACATGCAGGACAGTGATGCCCGGGAACCC